GCTGATTATTTTTAATTGATTTTAGGATTTGGGTTGGTTTGGGGTAGTTACAGTTTTAATAAGACTCTTTATTAAGATATGGCTCTCTCCTTTTTCTTGGGAATGCTTCTCATAGGTTTTTTGGGGTTATTTTAGTTTTGAGACAGGGTCACACTATAATCCAGACTGGCTTTGAACTCACAGTTCTCTTGCCTCTACCTCACAAGTACTAGGTTTGTAGGCATGGTACCACCATGTCTGGCTTCTCTCACAGGCTTTTGAGAAGTTGGAGGGTCTTTGTCTTCTCAGTCCTGAAATACTGAAACCCTAAAAGCTTTGCTAGCTTCTTCCTTCTCTAGTAGAGATCCTCTGCTTGAGCCACTTTGATTTTTAAAAACATCATGTTAATACATTTTTTAATGTTTAAGGAGATGGAAATGCTAAATGCTCTCTGATTTGATCTGTTACATGTATCAAACTATCGCATGTTACCTCATCAGTATGTTTTCTTTCTTTCTTTTTCTTTTTTGGTGGGACTGAGTTTTCAACTCAGGGCTTCACACTTGCAGAGCAGGTGCTCTGCCACTTGAGTCACACCTTTGGTCTATTTTGCTGTTGTTATTTTGGAGATGAGGTCTTGTGAACTGTTTGCCCAGGCTGGCCTCGAACTTCCATCCCTCTGAGCTCATCCTCCCAAGCAGCTAGGATTACCGGTATGAGCTACTGGTACCCTTCTGGCTTCTTACATTTTTATAGTGTGTGTGTGGGAGGGAGGTTGGATCTTTCACCACTCTTCCTGGTACTCTCAGGATGCAGTTCAAATTTTCAGGCCCCTTCCTATTTCTTTAGCACTCATTCTTTTCCTTTTTGCTTTTTTATCACAGTAGTTGAGCTTAAGTTACTGAATGAATCACCCTCTCAGTATTTACAAATGCCTGAAACACATGTCTAGATCTTCCCCTTCATCTTTCAAATCTCAATTTAGAAATGAAGTGTTCCTGATGCCTCTCTCCCCATGTCTGAACATGGACAAAATATCCTCTGTCTGTTCTCATAGAACTCTTAATGTCCCTGATTCTAGCACTTCTCCCCCTGCATTATAATGGCTCACCTACTAGCTTGTCTTTCTCTAACAGATAGCTTTTGGGAAAGGCTGCTTTGTCTGCCTCTGTCCCAAGCTATATTCCTATCAGTATGTACGTATGCTAAGTACATAATAGATATTCTGCTGAGATGGATCCCTAAAGTATTAGATTAAAATTTAAAATCTTTATGAATTAGGAAGGAATACAAAGAGAAAACAGGCTATAAAAATCAAATTATTCTTTATTTTTGAAAAGATAATAAGCTAAATGAGATTCTCAGATGAAGTACCTTTAGAAAACAAACAGCAGTGTAGATATATGTGCCAAAGTTTAGATCTGAAATGTCCTCCAGAAGCCTGTGTATTAAAAACTTACTTACCAGAGTGGTACTATCAGAAGGTAGTGGAACCCTAAAGGGTAGGGCTTAGTAAGAGGAAGTTAGGTTTTTGGGGTATGCCCTTGAAGGGGATATTGGAACCCTGGCTGCCTCTTCCCTCCATTCCTTCCTACCTCTCTCCTTCTCTTTCTCCTTGTTGGCCATGAGGTGAACAGACCTTCTCTAACACCCAGTCATGACATTCTGTGTGCTACCACTGAAAAGGCCTAGAAATAATGACTAGTTCAATACTTCTGAAATTCATGTTGTGGTATGTAAACATGAATTTCTATTAAAAGAAACCAAAGCCGGGTACTGGTGACTCACACCTGTAATTCTAGCTACTCAGAAGGCAGAGATTAGGAGCATCATGGTTTAAAGCAGCTCTGGCAAACAGTTTGTGAGGTCCTATCTTGGAAAGACCCATCACAAAGTAGAGCTGGTGGAGTGACTCAAGTATAAGCCCTGAGTTCAAACCCCATCACAGAAAAAAAAAAAAAAAGAGTCCAGATCTGAGGCAGGAAGTGTGCAAGATAATTCTGTAGCCCTTTATACCAACCAAGGAAAATATCAAAGGACACTCAGAGGCTGGGAATGTAGCTTAGTGGTAGAGAACTTCCCTACCATGTGGAAGTCTCTGATTTGATCCCAAGCACCTCAAAACAAATAAATAAATAGACACTTAGGAAGTAATTTGAATAGGCACCTTCCAAAGATGGAATAATTTTAGCATCAGTGAGGATAACAGTTCCAAAGTATTGAAACCCATAAAATAGGTCTATACCCATGAGTTCATAATGTTACAAATAAATACTGATGTTCTTGCTGATGCCATGGGACTTTGAAATTTGGTAAACAAATTGGGGGGAAAGCCAAACATTTTTTCTGACTGTCTTATGTAAACAAGACATCAGAGAAACCAAATAATTGATGGAAGAAGTTTTCATTTATAAAATATTCCCTCTACATCATGCAGAAGGAATGTTAAAACATCTTCATTTTATAGTCTAACAAATTAGTGGTTCTGGGCAATGATTATTAATTGTTGTAATTTCATTAAAAAGGCAAATAGTACATAAATTCTGACATATGTAGTAGTTTTAACAAATCTGAGTTTATAAAACCTAGAATCTGATCAAACTCTTAACTTTACCAGTGATTTTCAACTTGGTTGCACTTCAGAATCATTTGTAGAGTATTTAAAAATTCCAAAGCCTGGGCTGCAATTTCACTAGAGTCTCTGAGAATAACGACCTAGACTTTTAAAAGCTCCCTAGTTTTTTCAATATGCAACTCAGGTTAAAAAAGCACTGTTTTATATCCAAATGATAATTTATGGGAAATGCAAGGAAGAAACAGTGCAATCAGCAAAATACACACTATAGGAAATTCTATAGGAAAAAAAACAGTTTCTTAAACAAATTGAAATTTTAAAAGAATATAATTAGCAATAGCATCAAAAATATGATGTACATGCATATATATAACAAAATGTGAAAAATATGTGCAGTAAAAACTGCAAAGAAATGCTGAGATTAAAAAAGATCTAAACTAATGGTTTGGGAGATTGAGTATTAAGTATAAATTATGCTCAGATTAATCTGTTTGTTAAATGCAATCTTCTACAAAATCTGTGATTATTGAATATTGCCTGTTGACCTCAGATCTTGCAACTTAAATTCACTTATTATATTAACTCTAATGATGGGCATGTGTTTTCTCTTTAACAAAGACAACACCACCTGTGACATTCCAATATGAATTTGTTTTTCTCTTATTGCACTTGCTAGACCTTTAGGATAGTGTTGAATGGAAATGGTAACAGCAGATAACATTGTCTTGTTGCCATTTTCAAGCATTAGTTTTAACTCTTTCCCCTGTCAAGTATCAGATTTGCTGTAGGTTCTTTGTAGATGCCTTTATTGGGTTGCAGGTTTTCTTAGTTCATTGAAATTTTTTATTAGGAGTGATTATTAGTTTTTTTTTTCAATATTTTGTTCATCTGTTGAAAGGCAAGAGGATTTTTTTTCTTTCTAGTTTGTTAATATGATGAGCCACAATGATTAATTTTAAAATGTTAAGACAATTGTTAATTTCTAGAATAAATCCTTGGTCATGAATATCATGACCTTTTCGTGTGTTGATAGAGTAGACTCATTGAAATTTTGTTTATATTATATTGTTCTGTAGTTTTGTTGTTTTCCTTTATGTGTCTTTGATTTTGGTATCATAGAAGGAAGTGAGAACTGTTACAGAATTGGTATTTATTTCTTACCTTGTTTGATAGAATTCATCACTTGGAAGTCATCTAGACCTTTTCTTTGTAGAAAAGCTTTTAATTAAAAAATTCAATAGCTATATACCATTCAGTTTATCTACTTGTTACTGAGTAAACTTTGCTGGTATGTCTTTCAGGGAATTTGTGTGTTTTGTAAAAGTTTTCATATTTATTGGAATAAAATTCTTCATAGTTCCTTTACTATTCTCTTATTCTCTGCAGAATTTTAATGAGGTCAGTTTTCTTTGTCTCCATAATTTATTTCTCCTTTTTTCTTAAATTCCATCAGGCTAGAAGTTTGTCAGTATTACTTATTTCAGGGAACCCAGTTTTTAGTTTCAGCATTTCTCTTTTTTTCCCTCTTTCGTGGATCTATGTACAGTTTTATTAATTTCTTCTGTTGACTTTGGCTTTTTATTTATGTTCTTAAAGTGGAAACTTAGGTCATTGACTTAAGACCTTTCTTTTTTAAAATACAAGCATTTGTATGAATCACCACCCAAGCACTTCTTTAAGAACATCCCACAAATTTTGTTATACTTTATTAAAATACTAATTTCACTTCTTTTTCTTTTTTGACCTATGGCTTATTTAGAAGTAAATTTTTTTGTTTTATGTATTGGAGGATTTTCAGGTGTCTTTTGCTATTCACTTCTTATATAAAACTATTTTGCTTAGATGTGATATGCTTTGTATGACTTGAAGCCCAAGTATTGTTGATCTTGGTAAATACACCATGTGCACTTGTACAGAATGAGTTTTTGCTATTTTGGAAGAAGTAATATATAAATATAAATTGAATCATTTGGGTATTAGTTTTTTCCATCTTTCTATATCCTGATTTTCTAGGTACTCAATTCATAGATTATCAAGGGAAGGCATTGAAATCTTCTGTTATAGTTATAAGTTTGTCTACTTAAAATGTAGATTAAGTTTCAGAATACATGGTCCATATACCAAATGCAGTAAATTATCTGTGAGGAAAATTAGTGTTACTAGCATTGTTTTGTTTGTTTTGTGACAAGGTCTCAATATATAGCTCAGACTGGGTTTGAACTCTCTATTCTTCTGCCTCAGCCTCCCAAGTTATGGGATTACAGGCATGTACCACCATGTTGGGTTACTAGCTTACTTTAAAAGGCATCATTTGAATGTGTCTTTGGTTCATCCTACAGTATTGGGCTATTTGTAATATCATCTTTATATACAAAAGAAACATTTGTTTACTACATTTTACTGTTTATCATTTATCTAATTCATGTTACTTTATTTTACTTGGCAGCTTCTATGTTTTTGAAACAGGCCTTTGAAGGAGAATACCCTAAATTATTACGTCTTTATAATGACTTATGGAAGCGTCTTCAACAGTATAGTCAAAATATCCAAGGAACTTTTAATGCAAGTGGAACTGCTGATCTCTATGGTGACCTGCAACACATGGAAGATGATACACAAGACACATTCATTCCAAAAAAGCCAGATTATGAGTATGTTTATTTAATTTGACCTGTTGCTTGACATTTAAAGAATTTCCTTTTTTATTTTCATTATAAATTAGAAATTGGGATTATAGTAGGCTTTTAGATATTTGTAATGATTGTTATTAATTTGTATACTTTAAGAAACTTTGCAAGACTTTTTTACTGAGGAAGTCAAACTTCACTGGTAGGTGAGCATTCTGGTTCCTGATAATTTCAGTTTTAAAGTCTAATACTAATACTTAAATGGAGTAATTAGAAGCTAAGTGATGATCATATGTGGTCATTGCTTTTTAGTTGATATTTTGATATATATGCAGTTACATCAGATAGCACTATTATTGATAGGCCACTGGTATAACTGTGAAATGGAAGGATCTGATGTATTCTAAAACTGCAGAGGAGGTAAACCTTATGCTGGAATAGTTTTTCAGTCAATGTGTTAGGAAAACACATTTGACTGAATATACTCAAAACTACCCTAGATCTACTTGGATCACTCACAGAGTATAATAGTATATCCATAGTTAGGAACCACACTGGAAACCAACACACAATCTCTAGATTCAAACAAGCCAGCTTTTCCTTGAAAATTGTAATGGAGTATTATAAGTTTCTGTTTGAGCACCAGATTAAGTGATTGGCTTTCATATTTATTGTGGCAAGGCTAACTTAAAATAGTAGCAGATTCTTATCACTTACTTGTAAGAAAAATGTTGGGTTGATTCATAAGTCCTGTTAAGGTAGTTGCTTATTTCTCTTTTATTTTTTTTTCCTGATACAGGGGAATTTGTGTCTACTATAGTTAGAAGTTCTCACTGGCAAAATAAATTGCCAGAATAGACTGGAGTGCTAGAATGAAACTAGATTATCTCCTCATTAACTGTTTTATGATAAACAGGGAGATTAGCTACAACTGAGTAGAAGAGAGGACAAGAGTTACAATGATTTAATAATATATTAAAAACTTAAGAAGGTTATATAAAATAGTATATATGGTCATTGTATTTCTGACTTAATTTATTTTTATTTTTATTTTTTGGCAACACTGGTGTTTGAACTGGACCTCATACTTGCCAGGCAGGTGCATTTAATGCTTGAGCCACTCTACCAGCCCTTTTTTTGTGATGGGTTTTTTTTTGAGCAAAGGTCTCGAGAACTGTTTGCCCAGGGTTGGTTTTGAACTGCAGTCCTCCTGGTCTCTGCTTCCTGAATAGCTAGGATTTACAGGAGTGAGCCACTGACGCCTGTCTTAATTTTATTTTAGAATCCATATGCATGTGCTAAAAAATAATAATGGACTGGAAACATACAGAACAAATGGTAACAGTGATTTATCTCTAGGATGTAGAATTCTTATTTTTTGCATTTAATAAAAACAACCATTGTTACTTTTGTTTATAAAAGGGTAAATTCAGTAAAGGGGAAAAAACTGGAGAGAAAAAAAGCCACTATGTTTCGATTAATACAATATCATTATCACCCTTTGGAGACTAAATTCAGTGAAGTGGTTGGTGAAAAGAAACAGGTAGAACTCATATTCTATGAAGTTGAATAATCACAAGGTAATAAACAAATCATTCAATTTAAAATATTATTTTGAAAAGTAAGAAGAGAAAACAGGGATTTGAGCATGTTAACTAAGTCAAAGGAAATGTTTTGTGTTTTTAGCGAGAGAGAAAATTGAGAATATTTGTAGATAGAAGTAGTGGTGCAAAAAAGAGATGGGATATGCAAGAAAGAAATAACTAGGTTAGCATTTTTCATTGTTTAGTACTCATATTGAATTTCCAAAAGTGGTAATTGCATTGAAGAAACTAAAAGAATGAAATTAAAAAGGTCAGAGAAGGTCTCTATGAGGAGATCTAGATATTGTGCGCAAATCAACCAAGACAGATTTGGAATGAGATTTCTGTTGGCAGAAGAGCAAATTTAGAGGCCTTGAAAAAAATTAAGATGTGGAGATTTGAGGAACACAGTAAGTGAACTAGAAAAAGGTATAATGTTAGGCCAGAGAAGAAGGGAGATGTGAGAACATGTAGGGTTTTATTGGCCATCAGAAGGGTGTTATAATGTATTTTAAATTGTGACATATTTTAGAGGACAAGCCATTAGAACTTTGTGACACATCAGATTTGAGAGGAAAGGGGGAATGAGAATATAACTAGACAAGATGGTAGGAAACTGAAGCTTAGGGGGCTTTTAAGTTTTTTCAAGGCACTCTGTTACATTGTAGTTTTTCTTTTAAAACTGCTCAATTGAAAATAGCAATAGTTATTAAAAATTAATTGAATATGAGTCAGAGATAGAGGTTTGTACTGTCATGAGTCAGTTAATGACACAGTGGGATGAACTGCATCACTAGGTGATTTCGTCATTATGGGAACATCATAGGGTGTACTTACACAAACCTAGATTGTGCTGTTACATCATTCCACATGGTCTTTTAATGTAATCAAAAGAGACATAGTAAACAAAATGTATGAGGCTGCGACCACACACAGTATACCATTTACTGTTTTACAGTTAACTTTTATTTTGTAAGTAGGGTTTACTCTAAAATAATGACAAGGGGGTGGGGGCAGGGGGGAGAAATGAACCAAGCCTTGTATGCACATATGAATAATAAAAGAAAAATGAAAAAATAAAAAAATAAAATAATGACAAAAATCTGGTATAGTAAATATATAAACCAGTTATATAGTCATTTATTATAGCCAAATAGTTATGTACTACACATAATTTTATGTGCTATTCTTTTTATAAGAGTAGCAACATAGTAGGTTCATTTCCACCAGCATCAACACAAACATTAAGTAATGTTTTGCACTATCCATTGTGACAGCTATGATGTCACTAGGTGATAGGAATTTTCAACACTACTATAATCATACGTGAGCACCATCATGTATGTGATGCATTATTGACCAAAACATTCTTATGTGACTGTATTTGGGAGCTCTTATCATGCAAATTTTAAAAAAAATCGTAGCATTGAAAGAGATTACATGGATAAAGGTACTCCAGTATTCATAAATTGGACAGAGGAGTTGTAACCATGTAAAGGAAACTTAGAAATGGTAATATTGAAGTACAGCTCAGAGTGTATAACCTGAAGAATGAGTTCATTTAAGATGGGGGAGATATAGTCACGTGTGTTAGGCTACTGAGAAGTTGAAGAAGATTAGGACTCAAAATAGATCTTGATGTGACAGAGTGAAGGTTGTTGGAGACCTAGTTGTGTAATGGTAGAAAAGCATTGTTAGAAGTGATTGTGAGAATGGAAGACTGACTTCTGACATGACAACATGAAGAGCTCCACTGATCTGTTCCTCTATAAAGTTGGTGAAAACTATAAAAAACAGTCCTCAGTGCAATAGCACAGCATCTATTTATGAAAATTTGGTAAGAAAGGCTAGACCCTTTCTGGTATTTGATATAAGGCTATGGTTTCTCAGCCTTTTCCAATTGAATAAAGTGGAGACTCTATTCCAGACTGGAACCACCAAGAACTTAGGGCACTCTCTTCCCTCCAGTTTCCAGCTAGAAGCTTTATTCCTGTAAGAGCAGACCTTCAGTGTTTTTTATTGCACTCTCAGTGGTTCATTGCTGAGGCTAACTTCCTAGCAAGTCAGGCCAAGAGGTGGGAACTCTTGTGCCCAAACCCTACTCAGGGAATGGGTTCCTAAATGTGGCAGACTGAAAATACTGGGACCCCCCCACACACACTAACTTTTGCCTGGACTTTTGAAGTAGTGATTCCCTACAGGAAATGTACATTGAGAGGATAAGGCTATTACCCCTTTACCAAGAACTCAACTCACTTCCTAGAGTGAAGTTTTACTTCTAAAGAAGCTTGCACTTTCTCCACCCTCAGTTTCAGAGCCTTAACATAGAGATTTTGCCTGGGCAAGAAGAAGGCAAAAAAAAAGAAAGAAAGAAAAAAAAGAAACCCAACCATCTCCTAAGCTCTTCCCAAAGTAACTGCCTTCATTGTAATAGAACCTGGAAGAGTGTAAAGCTGAGAGCATTCTCCAAAATCTTGGAAGTTGTAGTGAAAGGCAATGGTGAGGTGATCCTCAGATCTAATGAAGATACAGACTATACTGCAGGTCATCTAGTCCCCTGGAGAGATCCAGGGACTAGGATACCGGGCGGAGTCTTCTTAAGGTCAGAAGAAGTATCAAATATGATCTCAAACTATTTTATCAAAGGAGCTACAAGTAGATTACATTAGTTTATAGAGGAGTTTCTTCCCTAGGGCATTGTTTGAAGTCTAAAGCAATCAGAATCCTTGAACATCTGGGTGTGTTCAAGAAAAGCAAGGAAGAGAGCATTGCCATGCAGGGTGACTATGGGCATACCCCAAGCTATGACTCCCCAAAGAACAATATCAAAGGATGAAAACTGTGCAAAGATACAGATCTCAAATTATCTAGCCAGTCACTGTATAAATAAGCAAATAACAGTAATAAGCCCCAGAGGTAGGGGGATCAGTACCCACAGTACTATAATGTGTTATTTGAAATGTCCAGTTTTGAACAAAAGATGATGAAGCATGCAAAGAAACTTGAAAATCTGACCCATATACTGAAAGAAAAGTGAACAACATATCCTGCTGTGAAAGCAATCAGATGTTGGGCTTAACAAATAATTTAAAGTGGCTATTACAGATATGTTCAAGAACTAAAGGAAAGCATGATTAAAGAACTGAAGGAAGGTATGACAGTGTACATCACACAGAGAATATCAGTAAGGAAAATTATTTAAAGTACAATAACTAAAATTAAAAATAATCTAGAAATGATTAACAGTAGATTTGACCTGGCAGAAAAATAATTAGCTAATTTTAACCCAGATAAACAGATTATACAAAGTGAACACCAGACAGATAAAAAAATGAAAAGAAATGAGCAGAGCCTCAAAAAAATGTGGGCAACCATTAAGCACACCAGTATGTACATAATAAGACCACCACAAAGAAAAGAGGAAGCAAAGAAAGGAGAAAGAAAAATATTTGAAGAAATAACAGCTGAAAACTTCCCAGATTTATTGATAACCAGTAGCCTATAGGAATAAACAATGGAGCCTGACCAACTTGGGCTCAACAAACTCCAAACTGGTCAAAGATGTCTGGTTCATCATTATCTCTGGATTGGTAAGTAGGGCCTGGTCATGGTAATAAAATGGGAGTTCTAGGCCAGATGCTCAATTCCAGGAGCTTCAATGTCAGGTTTGAACACTTGCCCCAATATGCCAAATAAAGAGATGGTTAATGCTAGAAGGCAGAGAAAGGAGACTTATTGATAAGACATATGTATGCCATGAAAGAGCACAAAGCAAGCACCTCAGCCCATCTTCAAGATACAGGCATGAGCTTTAGGTTTAAATAAACAAAGAACTGGAGGAAAGGAGCAAGAGGTATGCATAATTATTAAACAGTCTATGTCACAGGTATAGTCTGGTGATCACAGTTGGCCGGTTTGCTCATTATCTCAAGATTGGTCAAGCAGGGCCCTCTTACTATAAGGAAATCATTGTTGCTTGATAAGATCTGTCCTGATAATCTGTCCTGTGGAGGATCTGCTGTTCCTTTCCTTGGAGGTAGTTTCCCTTGCAAAGATGTTAGTCAATTAGTTCTTTGCTTCCTGAATTTCAAGGTGAGAGGGAGAGGGAGACCTTGTTGTGATTAGGGTTATGTGACCCTTTCTTACCAGTGTCCTCTATCAACCCAACAGGCCTTTGTCCTTTACCCATGGCTGTGTATTTCAAAGAACTCTCAGCAGGTTGATTTTTTAAATTCACCTTCCTTTTAAAGCTTTTACTAAGATTGTTTAAGGAAGAGGGAGGGGGAGGAAGGAGGGAAGAGGAAGAAAAAAGAAAAGAGATGAAACTGAATCAGAGTGCCCTCCTTCAACACCCAGGAAAGGCAAATTAAAGCTATAATGGACTCCCACTTCATACCTGGTAGTATTAAAAAGACAGGTAATAAAAAGTATTGGCAATGATGTGAAGAAATTATACATTGCTGGTGGAAATCTGAAATGGCACAGGGCTTTGGAAAATAATTTGGTGGTTCCTCAAACTTTTAAACATACAGTAAACCACATGACCCAGCAATTCTACTCTTAGTTCTACACTTAGTTTGCACACAAATGCTTATAACAGTAATATTCATTATAACCAAAAGATGAAAAAGAACTCAAATTTTTCAGTAGCGAAGTGAATAAAGAAAATGTGCTATATCCATAAATGGAATATTATTTGGCCATAAAAGGAAATGAAATATTGATTCATTCGATGTAATGTGTGTGTGTGTGTGTGTGTGTGTGTTGATTTTGCAGTTTACTGGGGTTTGAGCTACTCCACCAACCCCCCCCCTTTTCTTTTTTTTACCCCTGTGATGGGTTTTTTTCAAGATAGGGTCTTGAAAACTATTTGCCCAGGCTGGCTTCAAACCTCCATCCTCCTGATCTCTGCCTCCTGAGTAGCTAGGGTTACAGGCGTGTGCCACCTGCACCTGGCTTCAGTGAAGTATTGATAACATGATGAACCTTGAAAACACTGTGTTAAGTAAATGAAGTCAATCACCACACACACACACACACACACACACACACACACACAGTGTAATCCCATTGGTGTGAATATCTAGAACAATGAAATTTGTAGAAGCACAACTAATGGTTTTGAGTGGTTAGTTAGGGCTGGGGGATGGAGTAGGTGTGAGGAGGTCATAGAGGGTTTTTTTGTTTGTTTGTTTTGCGGTGAGAATAATGTTCTCACATTGACTGGTAATGATTGCACCTGTCTGTGACTATGAAAAAGCCATTGAATTATAGACTTAAGTAATTGAATTGTATGTAAATACATTTTAATAAAACTTTTTTGAAGAACAAGAAAATAAAGAGGTAGATTACATTCCTCTGTAAGGTGAAATTTAAAAGGGGAGCAAAGTTACTTCTTTTGTCAAAATAGTAGAGCAGTCACAGTGGATAGATGAACAAAATAGGAAAGTGCCAAGTTGAGGAAAGTCATGGATAATGATTGGTCTGGTGTTTACAGAGACAAATGGTCATATGTGGGGTGGACCACTGCAGAAGTAGAATTTAAAGTTGAGCTTCCAATGTCTTGATATGAAAGGTCTCATAAAAATGTTTAGTACAAGTGGTTTACTTTTTCTCTTCATTATTTGGGCAGCTTAAGTGTGGATACAGAGACCATCTTTGTAAAAGCTTTGAAAGGAAGGTGAATTTTAAAAAATCAGGTTGCTGAGAGCTCTTTGGAATAAATGGCCATGGGTGAAAGACATAAGAACTGCTGGGTTGATGGAGGACACTGGTAGGAAAGGGTCACATAACCCTAGTCACAATAAGGTCAAAGAATAAGTTCTTTAGAGGAAAGTCTACCACTCTTAGGGATATACAAAGCCTGCTACTCTCTCATCATTTACTTGCTCTCTCCTCTGACTGCTTGGCAAGCACAACTAGGTACAGACCTTCCTGAGGGCCTTTGCACTTGCTGTTCTCTTCTCATAGAAACCTCTTTCCCTGAAAGTCAGTGTAACTCGCTAACTCTTCTGTCAGGTCTTCTGAGTAAACCTTCCCTTGCCACATCCTCTTGATAGTTGGATGGAAAAGACTTAAGCTTATTCTCTGCTTTCCTTACTTTACTTTTCCTATGGTACTTATTACTCTCATATTCCATGTTGAACTCATCAAATTTATTTATTTGTTCATTCATTTATTTATTGTGTATCTTTCCTGTTACCATTAAACTTTCTAGGGCTAAAGATTTTTTTACAACTCAGTTCACTGCTGTTTCCTGAAATCTAGAAAATATTTGGCAGATTGTAGAGACTTAGTAATATTTGTGGGAAGAAAAAAGATGGAAGATGGGGCATGCGGAAAGCTGTCTTTAAACATAGGAGACTTCAGAGCAATTCAAAATGATGTTTCAAAGTTGGAAGGTCTATAGTAAAGCTAAAATACAGGTAATTATAAATGCAGACTTCTAATATAGCATAGGCTTTAGAAAAGTTATCTGTTTTGGTATTGTAGTCACTAAGGATCCATGCAGCTGTTTTGGAGGACAAGAAGCCTTAGTACTTACATTCAGGGCCAGAATTTCTGCAGAAGTGGGAAAATGAGTCAGTCAATGACAGGAACAGACATAGAGAAGACATTTAAATACATGGGAAGGGTTCAATAGAGATTGCCTCAGACAGATTTAGATGATAGTTCCTCTGTAGCCTCTCTGCTCCATGTGGTCTGTGTATCTGCGTCTATTATGGAAGTTAGCATAATTTGCACTTCTGCCCATTTTTGCAATAGACTGTACAACACTTTGTTGTTGTTTTTTTGCAGTACTGGAGTTTGAACTCAGGGCCTTGAGCTTGCTAGACAGATGTTCTACCACTTGAGCTATGCCTCAAGCCCTTTTTTACTTTAGTTTTTTTTTTTTTTTTTTTAACCCAGATAAGGTTTAGCGGGTTTTTGGCCAGGTGGGCTTCAAAGTGAGATCCTCCTATTCATGCCTCTTTAGTACCTAGGATGACAGGTGCATACCATCATGTCCAGCATATTGGTTGAGATGGAGGTCTCACTAACTTTTTTGTGAGCTGGCCTTGAACTGCGATCCTATTGATTTCTGTCTCCTAAATAGCTGGGATTATGAGCCTGAGCCACCATGCTCAGCCTACATTATACAAGACTCTTTATCTTTCCAGCATTTATCAAAGTGCCTGGTGCATAGTATTCTCAGTAAATATGTGTTGAGTGAAACACTTATTGAATGATAAAGTTTTAAGAGATAACTATGGAATTATGATGAAGGAGCCAAGAGCTCTTGGCTTGTCAGTTGACCAGAAGGGTGAAAAAAAAGGGAAAGCCAGGTTTCAGATACACAAAGAATAGGTCAGGTATTGTCAAGGTTAACATGTAAGATGACAGGGAATTTATTATTTGAAAATAAAAGTAGTGGAAAGACTGGTAGAGGGATTGTAAACAGATGCAGATATAGAATTAATTACAAGAGTAAGAAAGCAGATAGAAATAGATTGCAGACATTTAATAGTAATTGTCAAAGGAAAACTAAGATCCAGTCATTTGAGAGCTAAAGAAGAAACTACTGAAATTGTTGAAGACATGGGAAGAGTAAGGAAGAAAGAAGTGCATAGTATGTTAGTTTTATTTTGTCAAGTATATTTTAAAACAAATTGGCTTAGAACTCCAGTTGAGAGCACTTATATAATTGTAAGATTTTCACAAATATTTTTTATTTGGTCCTCAGTCTTGTCAGTATCACAAAAAGGGAAAACTGGTTAAGACCCAGATTTGTACCCTTCCCTTCTCAGTCAGTAAGTTTTGTGGAAGATAGCAGCTATGGATGAAAAGAATTAAGCTCATGGAATAGGTCTCTGCCTCTCTGTGTATGCTTTGATACTCTATAAATAGGAAAGCATAGCCTCCATTAGAATTAATAGGCTCTTAGGGTATTCTTTTAGTTGCAAGTGACAATATAGTAGATAATGGTGCATATTATATTTATAGTTAGGACTTATGCATAAGTTAAAATGCTTATGTGTTCCTTAGTAAATGTTCACTTACGAAATGCATTTTTAAACACACTGATATATTTTAAAACAGAAATTCTTTTTTTTCATTGTCATAATATAGTTACATTTTTATGGGAGATTTTTTTAAAATGTATTTATAGTTTTATATAATTTGTCTTTTAAAAATTTTGTTCCCACAGTCCAGAAAAGGCTTTGAAAGACTCGCTGCAACCCTACGAGGCTGCTTATCTCTCAAAATCCTTGTCTCGACTCTTTGATCCTATCAACTTGGTTTTTCCCCCTGGTGGGCGTAATGCTCCTTCCTCTGATGAACTGGATGGTATCATTAAAACTATAGCAAGGTATGTATTTTTGTATAATGGCATGCCGTGAGATGCCTGCCACATTTGTTAGTAATATGTGATAGCAATACATTGTAAATTTACCTCAAATTATTCAAATACTCAGGCCTGTAATTAAGTCAAGAGTTTTACAGTGAATGAGTGCATACATAGTAAGTATTTGAGATTCTAATTTATAAAACCATTTAAATATAGTCTAACAAAGTCTAATTCTATTTCTCACTAAGGATGCAAGGTAAACCTAATGCTTCACGCCATATTTAATCTCTAATATTACATAGGAAAGTAAGTATAAAAAATAATTTTACAAATTGAGAAACTAAAATGTAAAGGTTAATGTTTTTTTATTCTAAACCTAGAAAGCATTTCAAGGTAGAAACAGAAGTATAATTCTGATTAGCCTACTTGTATTTGCTATTTTAAGTGTTCTGAGTGAATGTGACAGCTTTTAAAACTAAAATGGAAAGGTATCCTAGCAAAGTGCCACCTGAATGCTTGCCGACAAGGTGATAATTCCATTGCCTTTAGACACACAACTAAATTATCCAGGCTAGGTTGCAGTTCACGCTATCTGAGTTCTTGTCATAGCTAACAAGCTATCATAACAGTAAGTCTGTACGTTTCAGATGGACATTTTGGGAAGTAAAAATAGTGATCAGGCGCTATATGACCAAGGCATAGGAATGTCTAAATCCTTTTAGACTACAAATTTGAAGGCAGGATTCTGAGGCATGGAAGAGTAAGACAGGTATAATACACATAGCCTATCTTCATCTCCGAACACACCTATAAAGTATTTGAGATCGCCCAGAATCTTGGTCGTAAAACTCTCCCCAATTATCCTAACTCAGTGAAGTTTTGACTCAAGATTTTTTACCCTCATGTGTCTGTTAACTTATCTAGTGGTCTAGTGGTAAAACTGTCCTAGATTCAGCTTGATCCCTTTGACCTGTTTTTGTAAATGTTAAACAAGTATCTCTCCCATTCCTTTATGCAGTTTGACTGCAAAATCAGATATAGTCTGCAGTCTGAAGAAGTATACTTAGGCCAATGTTTAATAGTATTTAAAAATGAATGTTAATAAAATTATGTCTCTAAGGCTATCAGAGTAGCTAGTAGAGCATCTACTCAGCAAGCATGAGGCCTGAGTTCAAATTCTAGTACCACCCAAAAAAAATATACACACACACACACATATGTCTCCATATTATGTGAAAAGACATTTTTGTACATAGTGTGCACTGGTATTGTTTCAAATGTCTTCAATTTCTTTTAAAAGATAATCTGATTTAGAAAGATAATCAAGAATTAATCTACTTCAGAATAATTTTCTTTGTACCTATAAATGAGTTTTCACCTAGTTTATAATACCTAGTATTCTTCCATGGTCTTTGTAAAATGCCCCTTTTTTATAGTCAAATCAAATGTCATAATTAAGTCAGTGTTAAAGTTAAAAATAAGCACAACAAAGAAATACTTTAAAAATCCAAATTTAAAAAATTTTAAATGATAGTCATATGATTTTGATATATTTAAAAAGCCACTCTATGCAAAATAGCATGAATTGTGCATAATTTATACAGAAACTGAGTATCTCTATGTATCATGTGTAATTTATATTTTTAGACTATGTCCTCCAAGGTCATCATTTCCATTCAGGAGCTGTCATTTCCTTGCAGATGTCTGTGATATGCAGTGCCTCTAATTGCACTTATCAGTATTAGCAAGTGCTACTTTAAAAATCTGTACACAATTTACTCTCTTAATCACAGACTGAACCCACACATGACATGCTTTTATTCATGGAAAACTGGTCATTAACAAAGCCATCTCAAAGCACTTTCTCCTAATGGCGAATTTAGGGAGAAAAATGAAACAATGCAACCAATTTTTGAAACAATCAGCAAAATCTACAAAAACAATCCCCACATTGCTTATTGGGTTTAGGTTTATATGTTGCTTTTTACTTTGTTAATGAATTATATTGCTAATTAAAATTTGTTTTTGTTTTCTTTAGTGAACTAAACGTAGCTGCTGTTGATGCAAACCTCACATTAGCTGTGTCAAAAAATGTGGCAAAGACCATCCACTTATACAGTGTAAAATCAGAGCAGCTTGTAAGTGGTATCCATTATCTAAACTTTAGTGATTTTTGTTTAAAATTACTAATTATACAGTCCTTGACTAACAATAACTAACATTATAATAAAGGAAGTAATCTGTTTTTACTTAGGCCTGAGTCATTTTAGTTTGTTCTTATTTCACTTTTATGGTAGCTGGGTTGACAAATTAAACTGAAGTATTTGCATAAAATGATTCTTGGTAGTAACTATATTATGAGACTGCTTACTCTCAGCTTCAGTGGAAGGCCAACTTTTGTTTGCTAATTTGGTGTTATTTTCCATTCATTTGTTCTTATAGTCTTTGACAAATAATTTAGAGGCATCCTTTTTTTAAACTTTGTTTATTAAAAAACTAGCCATACAGAGCAGTATATAGACAATTAGTTTCTCTCTCAAACTTTGTTCAGAGAGTCTTTATTATAATGTTCATTGCTTTAAAAAATGGTGGCTTATTGCTATAAATAAAATCGGTATTATATCTCATATAGTTTAGTGTAGTTAATGATAATATCAGGAAAAAAGTCCTCATGAGATGGTCCGACCAGAAGACAAACATAAGAAATAGCCAGTACATGTCTAGAAAATATTTTGGTGAGTGTAGGGGTGGTGGTAGGGGTGGAAAGAGGTGGCAGTAATAATATGATTTCAGTTGATGTAACAATGGCAAAATACTTTGAAAAAAATCAAAGTATATTAACTACCATGATGAAATACATACTGTTATTAAATAGCCTGTGGGTTTAAATTACTCAAGCCTACTTAACCTTACAGTGCTACAGAAACTCATTGGCTTTTTCCATTTTTTTTTAATGGAATTCTTCATCTCCCCTGCAAATAATTTTATTTTCAACTTTCATTTTAGTATATAAAAAAAATAAGCATAAATAAAATTACAGAACATCATATACTTGATTTTGTAATACGTTATGGACTAATGACTTAAGTAACATTCTTGTGGTAATGCTTATTTCTTAATTCTATTTCTGCTGTTCCTCTGCTTTTTTTTTTTTTTTTATTTTATTCATATGTGCATACAATGTTTGGGTCATTTCTTCCCGCTTCCCTCTGACCCCTCCTTTATCCCCCTCTTACCCCCTGAACCCCTCGCTACCAGGCAGAAACTGTTTTGCCCTTATCTCTAGTTTTGTTGAAGAGAGAGTATAAGCAATAATAGGAAGGACCAAGGGTTTTTGCTAGTTGAGATAAGGACAGCTATACAGGGAGTTGACTCACATTTATTTCCTGTGCATGTGTGTTACCTTCTAAGTTAATTCTTCTCGAACTAACCTTTTCTCTAGTTCCTGGTCATCTTCTCCTATTGGTCTCAGTTGCTTTAAAGTATCTGCTTTAGTTTCTCTGCATTGGGGGCAACAAATGTTATCTAGTTTTTTGGGTGTCTTACCTATCCTCATACCTTCCTTGTATGTTCTCGCTTTATCATGTGATCAAAGTCTAATCCCCTTGTTGTGTTTGCCCTTGATCTGATGTCCGCATATGAGGGAGAACATACAATTTTTGGTCTTTTGGGCCAGGCTAACCTCACTCAGAATGATGTTTTCCAGTTCCATCCATTTACCTGCGAATGGTAACATTTCGTTCTTCTTGATGGCTGCATAAAATTCCATTGTGTAAAAATACCACATTTTCTTAATCCATTTGTCAGTAGTGGGGCATCTTGGCTGTTTCCATAACTTAGCTATTGTGAATAAGTGCTGCAATAAACATGAATGTGCAGGTGCCTGTGGAGTAACCTGTGTCACATTCTTTTGGGTGTATCCCCAAGAGTGGTATTGTTTGATCATCTGGTAGATCAATGTTTAGCTTTTTAAGTAGCCTCCAAATTTTTTTCCAGAGTGGTTGTACTAGTTTACATTCCCACCAACAGTGTAAGAGGGTTCCTTTTTCCCCCCCGCATCCTCGACAACACCTGTTGGTGGTGGTGTTGCTAATGATGGCAATTCTAACAGGGGTGAGGTGGAATCTTAGTGTGGTTTTAATTTGCATTTCCCTTATTGCTCCTCTACTGTTTTTTTAATTTGACATATTTTCTTCTTTGATTTTCCCACATTCCTATTCTTTTAGAATAGTTTTACTAAAAAAACTGAAAGGAAAATAGCCAAATACTACTCAGTTTTTAGTTGAAGAAAGTTTAGAAACAGATTTTTAAGTAGAATATGCTGTGTATAAATGGAAATATTCAGATTTGGAATAAAAGCTGGATCTTTAAATAGGAGATTCTTTTTATATTTGAAAAATTAAAGCCTGTATTCCACAGGTTAAAAAGTGACAGAATCAGATCATTAATGGAATGTTCAAGTAGTGAAATAAAGGAAAACTAGAAATGTAAAAACAAGCATGCTTTCAGAAAGGGTGACTTAAAAATACAACATGAAATGTAGAATGAGCAGTTTTCCAGAATCATAAATTCATTTCCCTAAAGGCTGGAAGTTTCTTGGCTACCGAAACATTTTAACATACTTAATTGCAGCTTTAATTTACATTAGAAAAAGGCTCACAAGAGGGATTTTCAAGGTGATTTTTAATGTTCTGCGGTATACTAGAGTGAAACAAATAACTTTATGTAAAGTATACTTATATGCTTATAATAATAAATTGGTAATTATTTTTATCATTACATGTGTATTTTTTCCCTAAGGTTTTTTTGTTATGAATCATCAAAGGCATGCGTTAACCATATCCTAAATCTGTATAAGAACGAATCCTTAAATCCTTTTTTTCAGAATCTGAAATGGAATTTGAGAATCCATTTTATTGTTGTTGTTGTTTATTTTGTTTTGTTGTTTTGTTTTTGGGACAGACTCTTGCTGTGTAGCCCAGGCTGACTTCAAACTTGTAATCCTCTTGCCTTTGCCTCCCAGTGCTGTAATTATCTTTTTTTGTTTTGTTTTGTATATTTTTTTTAACTTTTGGTGGTGCTGAGGTTTGAACTCAGGGCCTTGGGCTTGCTAAGCTGGTGCTCTACCACTTGAGCCACTCCATCAGCCCTAAAATTACCCACTTTTAAAGGTAGAGAGTATGGTCACAGAACAATTATTATTGTTAAGCACTGACAGTGAAATCATTTATTTCACAGTTGTGAAGTGGAAGTATTAATGTCTACCATCATAAAATGTGGAAATTGAGTCCAAGAAAAGTAGTAGCATGACCAATAATACTGCTTAAAGTTAGAATGCCAGTAAGCAAGGGTTGCAGCTAACATGCACGCCCAGACTAGACTTTAAGCTTTAATACTGTTCCTTTTCTGACTTGTATCTTGGATTCAAACTTAACATCCTTTTCATTTTAGAAAATTGAGATTCTACTATATATATTGTTCTGTGATTTGTTTATTCTCTTACACTATGACATAAAGATCTATATCAACTATTTTAATATATTCATAATATATTTTCCTTGTGTCATAGTTTAACCTCTGTGTTTTTAATACATAGTGAGATGATAATTTAATTTTAAAATATCATGGATTTAGAGTTGATTTCTCATGTGAGTTCTAAGCAATAGTATTTACACGTCTTAATACATATTTTTTACAATGTGTCATGTAGGTACTCTTTTTGTAAAGATGAAATCAGTGCTGTTTTAGAATCTCTTCATTTAAAAATTCTTATGCATTTGCCTTGACAGCAACTGTGAAGTTATAATCAATTTACTAAGTAGAATTTTGTGCTCAAAATATACACGTATGGGTTGGGGATAGTCGCTCAGTGGTAAGCACCTGCCTTAGCCATATGTAAGACCCTTGGTTCCATCCCTAATACCAGAGAGAGAGAAGAGGGAGGAGGAAAAGGGGGCAAGGGGGAGGAAACAAGAAGGAGAGGGAGAGGAGAGGAAGAAGAGGAGACAAGAAATACATGGACACACATCTGTAGGTGTATATATCATTCCTTTTAGTAGAAAGTTTGAGTCAATGTTTTTCCTTATCCTCTGTGTGATAAAAAGAAATTCAGATATCAGCATAAAAGGGAACTATTATGGTATCTTTATAATTTATAGAATTCTAAACTTTTGTGATGAACAGATTATAGGCAAATACACTCATAAGTATTCCTTTTAAAAAGTGAATTATTAGGTATTTTCCAGCAATAAGTATTACGTATGATGGTTTCAGGGAATCACATTTAACTTTCAATGTAAATGTCAAATGTTATGAACTGTGAAAAGTAGATTGATATAATTAGGTTGCAAATAATTTGAAATTATAACAGGAATGACATTTAATAGAAGGTTTCTATTTCAGTGCAGGTCAGTAGCAATATGTGAAGTCAATAGTTCTACACACTAGGGTTTTGTTTTAAGGCTTTGTAAATATATACTTTATTCTTTGTTCAGTTTCATAAGTAACTTAGAAACTTGACATTTCCTTAATGGATAAAACCTACATGTGCATTATTTAAATGATGTACAGACATAAGAGTTTTAATCTTTTAAGTTTTAAAAGGATTATTTAATGGATATTGTACATTTATTATTTATTTATGTGGCAGTACTGGGGGTTGAGCTCAAGGCCTCACACTTGCTAAGCAGGTGCTTTACTACTAGAGCCATTCCACCACCAGCCTTTTTTGTGATGGTTATTTCTCAGGACCTGCATGATCTCATCCTAGGAAGCTAATTGCCACAGGAGATTGAGAATGGACAAAAGACAAACAAGCAAAAAGCTGGGATCAGGTGGGCTGGGTGCTCTGGTGGAGACACACAACAGCCTCCACCACCTCCAGTGAGTTATTATATACAGCTGCAAACAAGGAAGTGGGATAGGGCAGTGTGACCTTGTAGTTATTGGGAATAGGGGGAACCTAGCTCCTTGTTCTTATGCAAAGCAACTGTGCTACATTTTCTCCCTTTTGTAGCTGGGGGCTGTGCCCATCTCAGCCTGCAGATTATTTGACATAGCTGTGCTCATGTCTAGTTCTCATAGGCTTCTCATACTCTGCTCTCCACAGTTATTTTTGAGACAGGATCTTTATGCCCTG